TCAAACTAAATAAATAAATCTTAAAGAAAAAAAGTTTATGATGTATCATGATGCACATTTCAGGTTTATTCTTTCTTTTTAAAAGATTTATTTATTTTTACTGGAAATACAGAGTTACAGGGAGAGAAGAAAAGACACAGAGAGAAAGAGAGAGAGAGAGATCTTCCATCTGTTGGTTCACTCCCTGAATGGCTACAACAGCCACAGTTGGACCAGTCTGAAGCAGGGAGCCAGAAGCTTCTTCCAGGTCCCTCACTAGGGTGCAGGGGTCCAAGGACTTGAGCCAACCCCATGCTGCTTTCCCAGGTCACAAGCAGGGAGCTGGATTGGGAGTGGAGCAGCTGGGACTGGAACCATGCCCAGATGGGATGCCAGTGCTGCAGGAGGAGACTTGGCGTGTTACAACCTGTGCCAGCCCCTCAAGTTCATTCTCTTTAGAATTTGCTTGGCTTGCTAAATTTATAGGTTATGTGCTTTGCCAAATTTAGAAAGCTTACAGGCATTATTTTTAAAGATATTTATTTATTATTTGAAAGGCAGAAAGAAAGTTCTTTTACCCGTGCTAAATATTTTGTGAATGTGCACATGTTCTAGACATTTGAATCCCCCAAATGGCTACAGCCTCTAAGTTGGGCAGGCTGAAGCCAGGAGTTCAGAATTCTATCCTGATCTCTCACGTAAGTGGCAGGGGCCCAAGTATTTGGCATATCTACCTTTCTAGGCACTTTAGTAGGAAACTGGATTAGAAGTGAAGCAGCAGACTCCAGCTAGCAGTCCTATGTGGGATGGTGGTGTAGCAGGTGGTCTCTTCATGTGCTGAGCCACAATAGTAGCCTGCCCCTCTCCACCGCTGCCATTATTTAAGTACTTTTTCTTTTCTTTTCTTTTTTCCTTTTGTTTGTTTAGTAGGTACAAAAAGGACAGGGAATACTCCCATCCTCTGACTTACTTCCCAATAACTAAAACGGGAGCAAGGGGATGGGGGAATGCCAGCCACAGGCAGAATAGGAACCCAGTTGCCATGAAGATGGCAGGCTCCTCTCCCTGAGTTTTCTCTGCTGCGTCTCAGGATCTGTGTTATCAGAGAGCTGGAATCAGGAGCCAGAACCAGGAACCAGACCTGGGCACTGCCAAGTGGAAGGTGGGCACCTTAACAATTAACCATTAGGCCAGATGCCTGTCCTTTAAAAAAAGTTTATCTACTCATTGATTTTTTATTTATTTATAAGGCAGAGCAACAGGGAGATAGAGATCTTCCAACATTAATTCATTCCTCGTATGCCTTCAACAGCCAGGACTGGCCCGGCTGAAGCCAGAAATCCCATCTGGGTCTCCCTCATGGGTCACTGGGACCTAATACCTGAGACATCATCTGTTGCATCCCCGGTACTCCTTGTTAGGAAAGTGGATGGGAAGTGGAGATGGGACTCGACCCTGGCACTCTGATATAGGTTGTGGACATCCTAAGTAATGACTTGCACCAAATGCCCGCCCCTGTGCTTTATTTCATCTCTTCTCTTAGATGTATTTGTTTATCTGAGAGGTAGAGTTACAGAAAAAGGAGAGATGGAGAGAAAGAGATCTTGTATCTGCTGCTTCACTTTCCAAAAGGCTGTAACACACAGGAATGGAAGCCCAGGGTAAGGGACAGCTGAGCTGTGCTGAAGCCAGAGTGCAGGAACTGAAGTAGTTGGGCCATCCTCTGCTGCTTTCCCAGGTACTTTAGCAAGGATTTGGATTGAAAGTGGAGCAACTGGGACTTGAACTGATTGCCCAAATGCTGGGATGCCAGCATTGCAGGTCGTGGCTTAATCCACTATACCACAACAGCAACACTCCTCCCACCCCCATACTTCCCACTCCTGGTATCATTTCAATTCACAACTCACCATGTCTCATTTTTTTTCCCCTGAGATTCTGGTAACAAGAGTAGGCAGTCTGTCATGCTCAAACCCAGTCTAACTTGTCTGTGTTCTTATAATTGGGATGCCTCGTTGGTGAAATAATGAGACCGGATGATTTCTGTTGGTGACAAGCCCTTTGTTCTGACCAAGGGTGCTCTTGCCCTCCCCAGCTGTCCCCAGGTACAGGACATTTTAATCCCGTTGCATACCTGCCTACTGGGAAAAAGGAATAGGCAGGCACTGTGGCTGTTTGAAAACGAATTCTTCTTTTCTTTTGAAGTGTTCTCTTGACCTAGACGTCACAGAGCATTCACAGACTGTTTCCCTGTGCTTAGGGCAGACACCAAACTTTAAGGAATGAGCAGCTAAAAAGGGGTGATTGCTCATGAAACACAAGTAAAGGAACCAGGTGCTGCAGGGATCTGGCCTGCACTGGGTAGGAATTGGTTGTCTTTGTTAAAAGCAGTTAGTTTGCCAGGATCGGGATGGCTTCAGGGTCCAGGAAGTAGGAGGAGGCTGGTAAATTTGACTGTCTCCCTCTTGCATGAGTGCATCCTCCATGTACTTTCAGTTCATCTTGAGAAAAATCTCTCGATGGTATAGAAGTAGTCCCCTTTTTTACTGATGAGAACACCGAGAATTATGCATTATGCCTGAGACTGCTCTCTCCTCCACCAAGAGGGAAGCTTAGGAGGGTTCCTTAAAATCCATCAGGATGGGCCTGGTGGTGTGTGGCTTAGCGGCTAAAGTCCTTGCCTTAAACATGCCAGGATCCCTTATGGGCACTGCTTCTAATCCCAGCGGCTCCACTTCCCATCCAGCTCCCTGCTTGTGGCCTGGGAAAGCAGTAGAGGACGGCCCAGTGCTTTGGGATCCTGCACCCATATGGGAGACCCAGAAGAGGTTCCTGGCTCCTGGCTCCAAATTGGCACAACACCAACCGTTGCGCTCACTTGGGGAGTGAATCATCGGATGGAAGATCTTCCTCTCTGTCTCTCCTTCTCTCTGTATATCTGACTTTGTAATAAAAATAAATAAATCTTAAAAAAAAATCAGAGTAAGATGGGCCTGAGGTGGCCTCAAGGTCACTTTCTTTTCTTTTCTTTTTTTCTTTTTAATTTTTTTTTTAAGATTTATTTATTTTTATTGGAAAGGTAGATATACTGAGAGGAGGATCTTCCGTATGATGATTTACTCCCCGAGTAGCTGCAACGGCTAGAATTGAGCCAATCTGAAGCCAGGAGCTCAGAGCTTCTTCCAAGTCTCCCACACGGGTGCAAGGTCCCAAGACTTTGGGCCGTCCTTGACTGCTTTCCCAGGCCATAAGAAGGGAGCTGGATGGGCAGAGGGTCTGCTGGGATTAGAACTAGTGGTCATATGGGATCCCTGCGCATTCAAGGCAAGGACTTTAGCCGCTAGGCCACCACACCGGGCCCTCATGGTCACTTTTATGTGTGGATTGCCCAGCACTTATCTACCTTTCCTTTACTGCCTGGGAGAGGTAGACACTCCCAGGCACTCCCTGCACTAGAAGGAGCACTCCCAGTACTTTGTGCTGCCCACAGTGTGGAACTCAGAGGAGGCTGGGACCTACTTGGTGCTGCCCTTTACAGCAGCACGAGCCACAGGCCCAGGGTTGCCAGGTTCCCCTGCCTTCCTCTGTCCCGAACACAGGTACTGGCAGAGCCAGACCCACTCTGCGTAGCTGGCCTTCTCTCTGTCTTTCAATGTTTTCTTACTAAATCCCCTTCTCCCTCTCACTATGTGCTTTTCCCTTCTGGTTTTTAATTTTGCCCACGATATTGCTCTTTTTTAAGATTTATTTTATTTTAATTGCAAAGGCAGATTTGCAGAGAGAAGGAGATGCAGAGAGTAAGATCTTCCACCTGCTGGTTCACTCCCCAAGTGGCCACAGTGGAAGCCAGGATCCAGGAGCTTCTTCTAGGTCTCCCAAGGCTTTGGGCCTCCTCAAGTGCTTTTCCAGGCCACAGAGAGCTGAATGGGAAGTGGAGCAACCAGGACATGAACCAGCATCCATGGGATCCCTGAGCGTGCATTTGTGCGGTTTTTTTTTTTTTTTTGAACAGTGAACAAGAACCTACTTCATGCTTTGAAATGATGCAGATCTCTAGGTGAATGCATCTTACCCGCTCTCATTTGCTTCATTTCTGTGCAGCTCATTGAAAGGGGGCTTTGGACACTGGTGCCTTCCTGTAGTTTGGTTCAGGAAGGATATTCTGATCTTGTCAAGTGCATCCCTAGATTCCCATTGGTGGTCAGAGTAGGCATTCCTGGTGTCATATGCCACGTTGCACAACCAGCGTGAGGGCAGCCCAGGCTCTGTGCTCTCTATAATCTAAGAAGCAAGGAGGCTCCCCTGGGGCTGCAGGGAGGGAAGAACTGCAGCCACCATGCCCTGGGGAGGGCTTCCCAGAGACACCCTCAGGCCCAGAGTGCCCTGATCTTGGGTGAGCTAATGCTATCTCTTTGAGCCTCAGTCTCCCTTGACTGTAAGTGGTGATGATTAAGGCCACTGCTAGCATGTCTGTGTGGCAAGTAGCACTTGGGTCCTGTGGCCTATAGAGGTAAATGGGTTATCGTGGCTGTCATTGTCATTACTAGGGCGGCGTGGATGTTCTCAGGCTGACTCTCCAGGGTGAACTGACAGGAGATGAACTTGAGCACATAGCCCAGAAGGTACTGAGGTTTCCTGTTGGACAAGGTCTCTCCCCCCTTGGTCTGTTCTGTCCTGCTGGTGACCTCTCACCCCACCCCAGTGCTACCTGCAAGCTTGGGGGCACCTCCTCTGCAGCACATCCAGCTGACCTCCACAGTATGCACTGCTTTGTGGGTGGGGAGACAGGCTCCCACTAAAGTGAAAACTAACCACGACTGCACCTCATTCTCTCCATCTGGTGTCCTTGCGGTGGTTCGGTTTCTGTTAAGATTTCCAAAGTGGATTTCTAGAGGTGGAGATCAGACTAACCCTTCCCATCTTTGGAGGAGCAGGTCTTTTGCACTGGTCGAGGGGCAGGCATTGCAGGCTTGCCGTGTGGTTTTGAAACACTTGTATTTTTCTCTTCTTTTTTCGGACAGGCGGCCCGGAAGACTTATGCCATGGTGTCCAGCCACTCAACTGGTCATTCTCTGGCCTCAGAACTGATCGAATCCAACGATGGACATGAGGAGATCATTAAGGTAAGCTAGTTCACCTCCACATTTGCTCACTCCTCTCTCCCTGTAGGCTCCCTCCCTGGAAGGGAGCAGGTGACATCACCAAAGGGAACTAACTAGAGTCTTGACTAGAAGGAACTAGATCAAGAGGCTGGGTCCTGGTTAACTCCTGGACAGATGGATCTCAGTTACATAGAAGGGAACCACAGTCTGCTGAGAGTGACCCACTGCCTCCTGGCCCCCACTTTGGAGATGGCTGGGGTGAATTATTGAGGGACCTGCCCATGAGTTGTGTTTTGCTGCTAGAGGTTATGGAGACAGATAGATCAGTCTATAGAATTTCTTTTTTTTAAATGAGCATAGTTGGGGTAAGTGTCTGGCACAGGGTTTAAGATGCTGTCTGAGATACCGGCATCCTATGTTGGAATGCTTGGCATTGGAATCTTGCTTTACTTCTTTCTGACTCGAGTTTTCTGCTGCCTCGTACCCTGGGAGACAGCCATGATGATGGAAGTGTTTGGGTCCTTGCTACCCACATGGGATACCTGGATATAGTTTCTGGCTCCTGGATTTCGCCTGCCTGAGCCCCAGCTGTTTTGTTCATTCGGTGAGCCAAAAGATAGAAGATCTTTCTTTGCCCCTGTCTTTCAGATGAAGAATGTTTCATTAAGTAATTAATTTATGAGGCAGAGAGAGAGAAGCTAGACTCCCATTTGCTAGTGTGCTCCTGAAATGCATGCAAAAACCTGCTTTAGCCAGGCGAAGCCAGGAGCCGGGAACTCAAACCAGGTTTTCCACATGGATGGCAGAGACCCAGTTACCTGAGCCATCCCTGCCACCTCCTGAGATCTGAGTTAGCAGGAAGGTGGGCTCAGGAACCAGAGCCGGGCATAGAATCTAGGTGCTCAGATATAGGACATGGCATCTGCACTACCCAGCTAATCACCTGCCCTTCCTTTTCTTTCATTTTAATTTATTTTTGCTTATTTTCATGTGATTTGAAAGAGAGAAAGAAATCATCTGTCTGAGGTGCATGCCCCATATGTTTGCAACAGCCAGGGTCAGAATGGGGCAAAGCCAGAAACACAGCATTCAATCCAGGTCTGTCATGCCAGGGACCTAAGTACTTGAGCCATCACTTGCTGCCCTTAGAGTGTTTATTGGCAGGAGCTGGACTGGAAGTAGAGAAACTGAGATACAAACCAGCTCTCAGGGTGCAGGCATCATAAGTGACCCCTTAGCTGCTGTGCCAAATGCCCATTCATTTTCTCTTTAGAAAAATAACTTGTTGGGCACAGTGCAGTGGCTCAATTGGCTAATCTACCCCTTCAAGCGCTGGGATCCCATATGGGCACCAGTTCTAATCCCGGCTGCTCCACTTTCCACACAGCTCCCTGCTTATAGCCTGGGAAGGCAACAGAGGACAGCCCAAAAGCCTTGGGACCCTGCACCCATGTGGGAGACCCAGAAGAAGCTCCTGGCTCCTGACTTCAGATTGGCTCAGTTGTGGCCACTTGGGGAGTGAACTAATGGGTGAAATGTCTTTCCTGCGGGGATACTGCAGTCCAGTGACCTGGACCATCTTCTCCTACTTTCCCAGGAGTGTTACCAGGGGACTTGATCAGGAATGAAGCAGCTAGGACTGGAATCGGCATCCATGTGGGATGCCAGCATTGTAGGCCATGGCTTACTCACTCATGTATGATAGCACTAGCCCTCCTCTTACTTTATTTTTTCCTTTAAGATCTATTTTCTTTTTATTTGAAATGCAGAGTTACATAGGAAAGGAGAGACAAAGAGTGATGTTCTATCTGCTGGTTCACTCCCCAAATGGCGACAACAGCTGGTGCTGAATTCAGTCCAAAGCAGGAGCCAGGGCCTTCTTCCTGGTCTCTTATATGGATACAGGGGCCCAAGGCCTCAGGGCATCCTCCACTGCTTCCCCAGGCCATGAACAGGAATCTGGATTGAAAGTAGAGCAGCTGCAATATGAACTGACAACCTTATGGGATATCCACAGTGCAGAATGAGGCCTAACCTACTATGCCATGATGTCAGCCCCTTCTTTCTTAATGATAGCCTTTAAAATACCAAAGTTTTAAAATTCTTAGAAGGTTTTTAAAAAAAGATTTATTATTTCATTTTTATTGGAAAGTTATATATACAGAGAAGATGATCTTCTGTCAGCTGATTCACTTCCCAAGTGGCCACAATGGCCAGAGCTGAGCCAGTATGAAACCAGGAACTTCTTCCGGGTCTCCCATGCAGGTACAGGGTCCCAAGGCTTTGTGTCACCTTCGACCACTTTCTCAGGCCACAAGCAGGGAGGTAGATGGGAAGTGGGGCCGCATGGATTAGAAGCAGTGCCCATATGGGATCCCAACATGTGTAAGGCGAGAACTTTAGCTGCTAGGCCACCGTGCCAGGCTCAGAAGATTTTTTTTTTAATATTTGTTTATTTATTTATTTATTGCAAAGAATGAAAGATGGGGCGGGAATAGATCTTAGACCTGCTAATTCTCTTCCCAAGCACTTAGACCATCATCTGGTTTTCCAGGTGCATTATCCAGGTGCTGGATCACAAATGGAGTGCCTGGGACTTGAACCAGTTCTCTCATATATGATGCTGATGTTGCAGGCAGCAGCTTAATCTCTTGTGCCATATCGCTAGCCCCCAGGTTTTATTTTTATTTATTTTGAAAGGCAGAGTGCCATATAGAGAAAGAGAGATCAAGAAAGAGTGAAAAAGAGATCTTCCATCTGCTGCTTCATTCCCCAGCTGGCCACAGTAGTTGAGACTGAAGCCAAGCACCTGGAACTCCATTCAGGTGTCCTGTGTGGGTGCCGGAGCCCAAGCACTTGAGCCATTTTCCTTTCCTTCCCCAGGCACATTAGGAGGGAGCTGGATCAGCCAGGATTGAAACCAGTTCTGCATGGGATGCTGGCTCAACCTGCTGTGCCAGCTCACCCAGGTTTTTGATTCTGATGATGTTCAATTTGTCTACTTATTCTTTTATTGCTTCTGCTTTTGGTGTCATATCTAAGGCTTGTCTAACCCAAGGTTTATTCCCATATTTTCTTTAAGAGATACAGTTTTTGATCTTATGAATAGATCTATGACCCAGTTTGAAATGATTTTTTGTATAGTATGAGGAAGGAGTTCAGCTTTGTTCTTTGGCTTGTAGATACTCAGTTATCCCAGCAGGTTGTGCAGCTCCCTTCTCCCCCGTGCTCTTATGCAGGTGCCATGCTGTCTTGATCACCTTAGCTTTGAATTAGTTTGAAATTGGAAAAAGCTAGCTTCCACCTATGTTCTTTTTCAAGGTGTTTGTTTGTTTTGGTTATTTTTTTAGCTACTCAAGATCCATTGCATTTTTTCATATGAATGTTAGGATCAGTTTTTGCAAGGAGGCTAGCTTGGATTTTGATAGGAAGTGTGTTTTATCTTGTCAGTCAGTTTGGAGAGTATTGCTGTCTTTTTTATGAAATTTATTTGTTTTTATTGGAAAGGCAGATTTGTGGAGAGGAGAGACAGAGAGAAAGATCTTCCATCCACTGGTTCACTCCCCAGATGGCTGCAACAGCCAGAGCTGAGCAGATCCAAACACAGGAGCCAGGAGCTTCTTTTGGGTCTCCCAAGTGGGTGCAGAATCCCAAACACTTGGGCCATCCTCCACTGCTTTTCAGAGCAGCTGAGATGCAAACCAGTGCCTGAATGGGATCCCAGCACCTGGAAGTGGAGGATTAGTCGGTTGTGCTATTGTGTTGACCCTGGAGTATTGCTGTTTTAACAATTTTGAGTTTTCTGGGTCTAGCGCGGTAGCATAGTGACTAAAAAAAGTTCGTATCCCGGCTGCTCCATTCCCATCCAGCTCCCTGCTTGTGGCCTGTGAAAACAGTTGAGGATGGCCCAAAGCCTTAGGACCCTGCACCCACATGGGAGACCTGGAAAAAGTTCCTGACTTCTGGCTTTGGATTGGCTCAGCTCTGGCCGGTGTGGCTGCTTGGGGAGTAAACCAGCGGATGGAAGATCTGTCTTTCTGTTTCTGTTTCTGTAAATCTGACTTTCCAATTAAAAAAAAATTATACTTTTCGGACCTATTGAAGTAAGATGCTCTCTCTCTCTAGGTCTTTTATTTCTTTCAACAATATTTTTTTCATTTCTGAAGAATAAATCTTAAGCTTTTGTTACATTGATTCCTAATGGTTTTTTTTTCCTTTTTTTGGTGCTGTTATAAGTAGAATTGATTTTACTTTTTAATTATACTTTACATGAAATCCCACTCACTTTTTATTTTTTAAGGATTTATTTGTTTTTATTGGAAAGGTAGATTTACGTAGATAAAGACAGAAAAATCTTCCATCCTCTGGTTTACTCCCTATATGGCTGCACCTGGCAGAACGGAGCGGATCCGAAGCCAGTAACCAGGAGTTTCTTCAGGGTCTCCCACTTGGGTGCAGGGTCCTAAGGCTTTGAACCATCCTCGACTGCAGGGAACTGGATCAGAAGTACAGCAGCGACATCTTGAACCAGAACCGTGTGGGATGTAAGCATTACAGGCAGTGACTCTACCTACTGTGCCACGATGCAGCCCCGGACTTGGGTTCTTACTTTCATTTTGGACTGTTTTATTCTAGTTACAGAAATATGGTTAATTTTATATTGCTATTGTGTCCTCCAACCTTGCTGCATTTATTTACTACTTCAATAGATTTTTAGTGAATTTTTTAGGACGTTCTGCATATGAATATAAGATTAGATCATCTGCAAATAGAAATAGCTTTATTCTCGTTTAGAATCCTTTCATTTCTTTTCCTTAAAGTCATTTCATGTCCCAGAAGAAAATAGAACTAATCCATCATGCTATCAGTGTAGCATTGTTAATTAACATAGTTTTCTGTAGCCTCCTACCTCCCGCATGTGTATGTATTTGAAAAAAAAAAGATCACACATTGTGTTCTACAACCTGCTCCCCCCACACAGATGCACTTTAACTACAGCATCTTCCGTGTCTACAAGTGTAAAGGTTTGGCATTTTAACATGCTTGCTTCCATACTATTCTAGACTTAATTATAATCTGTTTAACTACATATCCGGTATTCAACATTTTTGTTGTTTTCATTTTTTTTGTAGCCATACATGGTATTTTGCTGAACACTAAATTTGTGCGTGCATTTTTAAGATATAAAAACCACAGAAATACTTTCTCAGAGTGTTTCAGTCCCTCTTTTCCTTAGAAACAGGCTGGGTGATGAGTTTTTTCCTGCGTCTCCGTGCCTCTTTGCACCAGGATTGCTGTGTGTCATTTAGCTACATGGATGGCATCAGGTTAAGTTTCCAGAAACAGATGATAGATCAGAAGGAAACATTTTCTGTTTCAGTCCCCCGATGTAAATCACACTACGTTGTCGCCTAGTAGGCTGGTACTAAGTGCTTCCCTCACTAGCAGACGTGCTGGAGGTGCTGGTTTGCGTGGAAGTCACTTACTTTCGGTTTCCTGACTCATGAGACCTGCCTTTCCTATTTCAGGTGTACTTGAAGGGACGGTCTGGGGATAAGATGATCCACGAGAAGAACATTAATCAGCTCAAGAGTGAGGTCCAGTATATCCAGGAGGTGGGTACCCCTCACTCTGAGGGGTGTCCAGGACACTTTTGTAAAGCTGTTTTTTTTATTTCCTGTTTTTTGTTTAAATATTTATTTATTTGAAAGGCAGAAAAAGCTCTTTCATTCACTAGTCCTCTCCCCAAATGATCTGTTTTATATTTGTTTGTTTTGTTTCATTTTTTAAAAAGATTCATTAATTTTTATTGGAAAGGCAAAAATACAGAGAGGAGAGACAGAGAGGAAGATCTTCCCTCTGATGATTCACTCCCCAAGCGGCCGCAATGGCTGGAGCTGAGCCTATCCGGGGCCAGGAGCCTCTTCTGGGTCTCCCACGTGGGTGCAGGATCCCAAAGCTTTAGACCATCCTCTACTGCTTTCCCAGGCCACAGGCAGGGAGCTGCATGGGATGTGGGGCCGCTGGAATTAGAACCGGCGCCCATATGGGATCCTGGCGTGTTCAAGGTGTGGACCTTAACCACTATGGTATTGCACCGCGCCCTTTGTTTCATTTTTTAAAAAGATGTATTTATCTGAAAGGCAGAGTGCAATCTTTCGTCCCCTGGTTTTCCCCAGATGGCTTCAGTAGCCAAGTTTGGACCAGACCTAAGCCAGGAGCCAGAAATTCTACCTGGTCTCCCAAATGGGTGGCAGGAACTGAAGCACTCAGGCCATCTCCCATTGCCTTCCCCGATGCATTAGCAGGCAGTTGCATTGGAAGCAGAGCAGCCAGGATTCGAACCAACATTCTATTGGAATGTCACAAGCGGCAGCTTAGCCCACTGTGCTATGTCATCAGTCCCTGTCTTCCTTCTTTATGGGTTCTGTGCTCCCTCCGAAGTGACCATCAGTCCCTCCCATGTGTTCAAATGTTTTTATCCTTTTTATGGGATCAGTCAGTTATCAACAAATACTTATCAGGGAGCTCATGCTTCCCACTATGTTCCAGCCATGCAGTCTGAAATTGTTGGCCAAGCCCCCTCCCTTCACAGTGCTCTCTCCCTCCACTGGCTCATGTTTCTCAATGGTCCAGATCAGGATAGAACGTGCTACACATTTTACTTGTCTCCAGCAATGTGCATCTTCCCAGCTAGCATGTTAGTAATACTAGGGCAGGGAATTGTGTTTATTTTGTTGCTTAGAAAGGTGGTTCAGGTACAGGTGGGGGTGGGGCACGAAGGTGGGTGAGCACCCTCTCTTTCCCCGCCCCCTAACGTTCAAGGTTCCTGTCCTCCCTCCCAGGCCAGAAACTGTCTGCAAAAGCTCCGGGAGGATATCAGCAGCAAGCTTGACAGAGATCCAGGAGGCCCTTCCCAGCGGCAGGAGATACAGGTAACACACCCATCTGCCCCTGAGGAGGTGGGGTCTGCCAGAGAGTCTCATGTGGGCTTCGCCGCTGTGTACCAAGTCTGGCACCGCTGCCAGGAAGGGAGAACGGATGGATGGGTGATGCTGGCTTTGCCCGGTGCTCACAATCTAGTGTGGGCTGTCCGGCAGACAAGCTTCTGCGCTTAACCTTGTCAGCCTCTAAGCGCACCTGCTCCTAAAACGCTATGCAGACACTGAGCTTATATCAGTTAATTCTTGGGGGTCATCGGCAAAGCCTCTTAACTATAAGGATTCTTTGTATGTCTTCTAGTAAGACAGTCTTCCAAAGTACAATCCCCTGTAAATCCCATCTGCTCATAAGTTGATCTTGCTTCATTTGGAGTCTTGCAAAAGTTGTTCCTGGGGGTGGATAATCCTGCCTCAGCTTTGGCAAAATCTGAGAATGACAACATCCTCAGGAGAGCTGCCCCTTGGCCCTTCTTTATGCAGTTGGTTTGAGCACAGCTGGCGGGAGTTGGGATCATCTGTGTTTTCACAGTAGTTGGTTCCCCAGATTCCTCTGCAGGGGAACAGCACTGCTCTAAGCCGTGTAGCCTCTGCCTGACAGGGTACTTCTGGTACTTCAACTTATCTCTGGCCCAGCAAAGGAACTTGGTCAGGTGGCAAAAGAACTGCTACGTCAAAAGATGGGACCCCAAAGTTTCTTTGGCCCAAGTCAGCAGTCCTGTGGATATCCAGGCTTAGGGCTGGGCAGAATTGAATCGAAAGCTGCTTCCGATTTTGATCCAGGCTTTGTTAAACCTTGTCAGCATCCCCGGAGGGCAAGGGCAACTCTTTGTTTGGGACAAGCAGCTGCCTGTATCCTGGCAAGAGGGGGCCCTCTCTGTTTTTGCAATCTGCAGCAAGCTTTCAACCTGAGGCTTCTTCCTTCCTTCCTGTCCAGGCCACGCTCCTCTACCCTTCTGGATTCTGTGGCTCTCCCCCAACTCTCTCCATCTTCCCACCCAGCCTCCGTCCCTTTCTTCCTCCCTGCTCTGTCTAAGGTGTGAGGTCTTGGAAAATGGTGTTTCCAAGTTGATTGTGTGGGTCCGTTTTACTGACCAGTTTTATTTTTCTCTGAAAAGGTGGTGTTAGAAAAACCCCATGGCTGGAGTCAGAGTGCCTCGGCCCCGTACGAGGTAGGCTGCGGGGCGGACCCTTTGCGGACTGCTGCCTAGCCGGGGCAGGAACTCCTCCTCCTCCCTTATACTTTCTCTCTATCTCCTTCTCTTTATGTATCCGAGTTCTTCAAGAAGTGTGCAGAAAATGTGCATTACCTTTTGGTTCTACTTTTTACACAGTTTTAAGTACCCTCACCCAACAGAAATAACCACTTGATGTAAAAATCTGAACGATCAAGAAATATAGACAGTGGGACTCTCCCCCACACTCTTGGGCCAGAGGTGGCAAGGGCCTGACTGAGGACATGGAGCCATCCAGAGCCCTGTGAGTCTTTAAAGGAGGTACTACTTCAGGGTCCCATCCCCAGAAATTGCATCTTAATGTTCTGAGGGATGGCCCGGTCCCTGAGACCTTTAGACAATCCTCAGGTGATATTTTTGTTATTTAGGCAAAGTGAGTACCAGTATTCTAGAGTGTTTGTCTGTATACGGACAGTCAGGCTTAAATACTACATATGTCAAATACATACTATGCTAAAATTATACGTACATAGATACATGTGTATATATATACATGCTATGTTAAAATTATACATATATAGAAGTGTGTGTGTATATATGTATGGGGGCCTGGTGTGATGGCTCAGTTAGCTAATTCTTCTCCTATAAGTGCCGGGTTCCCATATGGGTGCCTGTTCATGTCCTGGCTGCTCCACTTCCCATCCAGCTCCCTGCATGTGGCAGGAAAGCAGTCAAGGACGGCCCAAAACCTTGGGATGCTGTGTCCACGTGGGAGACCCAGAAGTAGCTCCTGGCTCCTGGCGTCAGATAGGCTCAGCTCCAGCTATTACAGCCACTTAGACAGTAAACCAACAGATGGGAGATCTTTCTGTCTCTCCTTCTCGGTCTAAATATGCCTTTCCAAATAAAATAAATCTCTTTTTAAATGCCATATATATGTGTGTGTGTATGTGTGTGTGTGTGTGTGTGTGTGTGTGTGTGTGTGTGTGTGTGTGTGTGTAGTCTACATACTTTCACAAATTCAGGGTCATTACAATATTGAGGTTGTGCTATAGATAGCCTTAGGGTTGTTTCCCTTTGGTTGATGTTGTATTTTTTTGAGATGTCAAAAATAGTGGGAGTCCGTAGTGTATTGCCACCGTGGGTCCCCTCAAGGCCTGACAGTGCCATTCTTTGTGGCATTCACCTGAGGGACTGGGACTGTGACTTTTTTCCTGTCCCCACCCTGGTTCCCACACACTCCCCCACACCAGCCAGTATGTTTTTAGCATCTATGCATCACTGTAGTCAAATCTAGTTTGTTGTTTCTGCCTCCTCCATGTAAAATTGTATAACTTGTGTTCCTTCATACCATGAGATGTTATCTTCATGAAAAAAAATTCCATGCCATGAAATAGTCTTATGAAAACCCTGTTTGAAATGAATACATGATTTCTGTTCTATGCAAACCTCCCCCCTTTTTATTACCCCCAGCAGCCTAGACGGGGGTCCTGAGGGAATCAGCTAGCTGATTTGCTGACATCTAGACTTGAAATGGTTGTGATTCCAACTACTTGTTTTCCATGTGCAGTTTTGATATTTTTTTCTTCCCCTTGAATCATCCCATTTGGCAGAAATACGTTGTTGGCCACAAATTATAATAATAACCAGTGATATCCCTTCAGCTTTTCTTCTCACGAGTTCCAGGCCCCGCCGGATATTATCTGGCTCATTTCTGGGATAGCCCGTGAGGCAGGGTGTGGTGGGGAGTCTGAATTCTCACACCTTCACAAAGAAAATGCCACCGGGCCACAGGACCTGGTATGAGGTAGTGACAGGGACCCTCTCTCCCTGCTCTCTGCTCTGGTCCAAAAATGTTGCCACTTCCCACTGAGTGAGGAAGGCGAGAGATTTTTTTTTTCTGTCTAACTCCCATGGGAGTTTGTAACCCAAGTGTCGGTTGGGCTGGCGCTGCTGAGCTGGGGGCAAGACCCTACACGTCGCCGGCTCAGCCCTATAACCAGCAGCCCACGGCTGGGTGTGTCTGGGAGAGAGGCTGAGCAGTCACCTTGATGAGACACCTTTTTCCACATCCAGCCAGGTGCCCGCACTCCTCATCGGGTGGGGTTGTGTTACCCTCTCCTTGTCCATCCGTCAGTAACCCTTCAAAGCCCATCTCCCTGCTGGGTGCAGAGCAGAACATGAAATAGATGCAGGGCTAGGAGGGTGCTCCCCTGTGATGCTGTGGCACAGGCCCTGTCCTTGCTTGGAGAGCCCTCTTCCTGAGGGGCCTACAGGCCCCCTGCTCTCAGAGAGCTCTGGGCTGACAGAGCTCTGGTGGACAAGTAGGCTGCATGCCAAGATGGAGACACCTGCCCATCAGGAAACCCTGTAGTGGATAACATGTGTGAATGTTGGAATGTGTCCTACAACAGAGGAGTGAACTTAGCTGAGGTCAGCTAAATTCTGCCGCTACAAAGGAAGAATGTTTTCCTTTGGATAACTCAGAACTGTTGGCCAACAGTACAAACCCTCTCCCCTCTCCTTGTTAAGCTCTTTTGTGTGAGCTCTACACCAGGCTGTGCCAGGGAGGGGACCTGCTCTCACAAGGTTACAAAGACAGTGGCTCCACCTTCCCTCTCTGCTTCACCAGCTGCAGGCGGACACCTACGCAAACGAAGATGCTGAGAGCTTAAGGCAGACCGTGCGGGACTTGCTTGCCAAGCTGCAGGAGGCTGAGCGGCAACACCAGTCGGACCGTGTGGCTTTTGAGGTGAGATTTGAGATGGAGGGAGCAGGTGCCCCCAGGGATGGGCGACTGGATGCAGGTGCCAAGGACTTTCTCGACATGGAGTTCATGTGTTTCTGGCTGGATGCCACCGACTAGAAAGACAAGGCTTTAAGGCCTGGAGCTTTCCCTGCCTTTCTCCTGGACATTTGTAGTGTTTGCTGTCCCATCTCGCCCACAGTTCAGTGATCAGCTTTTAAATATGTCTGTGTTTGTGTGTGTGTGTGTGTGTGTGTTTGAAAAACAGAGTTGCTGATGAAAGATATGTGTGTATGCGACTGACTCTGTAACTCTTTCAGATAAGTAAAGATATGAAGAACTATGACTAAAGTCAGAGGACTTAGCTTTACTATATTACATTATATTGTTATAAAAGTAATAGATTTTTGGGCCCAACATGATAGCCTAATGGCTAAAGTCCTTGCCTTGCATGCGCCAGGCTCCCATATAGGCATCATTTCATATTCCAGCTGCCCACTTCCCGTCCAGCTCTCTGCACCCATGTGGGAGATGCAGAAGAAGCTCTTGGCTCCTGGCTTCAGATCTGCTTGGCCCTCGTTGTTGTGGTCATTTGGGGGAGTGAACCAGTGGATGGAAGATCTTTCTGTCCCTCCTTTCTGTAAATCTACCTTTCCAATTAAAAAACAAAACAAAACACAGTGATAGATTATTTTAAAGAAGTATTATAAGTAGATTATTGTAGAATTTTTAGAAAACACAAACTTTTAATGAACGAGTGAAGGCTCTCTATGATTGAAAGTATATGAGGTTTTGTGTATACTTTCTAAAAAATTATTTGAATATAAAATGAAGTTCACTGGGCAGTTTTTCCAAACAGCTCTATGAATTAACCATCTGTTACCTACTGTTGTTCATCCACAGCATTTTTAATGTCATAAATATGTTATGATTGCATTAAATCCTGCCTAGGCATGCTGAGAACTGGTAGAAAGAAGAAAGCTTTGAGCTCTACTTTTTTCATGGAACTTATTGAGAGAAGTGAGAGAGCAATGAAGAAATCAAGTGTGATCAACTGTGTCTAGGTTATAGGGTGGTTTTTTTTTTTTTTTTTGTCCCTAAGCGTAATTGTTTTTATTTGAAAGGCAGTTATAAAGGAGAGGGAGTGGTAGATCTTGTATCTTCTGGTTCATTCCCCAGATGGCTGGAGCTCTTCTGGTCCAAATTCAGGGGCCTCTTCTGGGTCTCTCACATGGTTGCAGGGTCCCAGGCACTTGGGTCATCTTCTGCTGCTTTCCCAGACTATTAGCAGGGAGCTAGACAGAAGTGGAGCAGCCGGAACTGAAACTGGTGCCCACCAGTGCCACAGGTGGGAAGATCAGCCTGCTGTGCCAGGGTACCAACCGTTAACTTAGAGTTTCCAGCAGTTTCACTTCCTTAAACATGAGTTTCACCTTTTACAAAAAGGAATCATGAAATAATACCTCACACGTGTGCTGAGGGAAGGAAAAGGCATATGAGATCCCTTTATGACTATAATAATATAATATATAATAATATAGGTTATTACATTTTTCTCTTATCAGTTTAACAAGCAGATTTTTTTCCTATTGTGTGTAGTTTTGACTGAGAACAATAGTAAGATTAGTTTATGGCCTTAGAACAAAATAGCCTTGTGGGAAAGGAGTGTTAGCTGTATCTATTTCACATTCCACAATTTGAATAATTTGGCTGGAGCTGAATCAATTCTGTCCTCATCCATTCCCATCATCAACCGTTTCCCCGTTTTTAAAAGGAACAAAGCAGGAAGCAGGGGCGGGTGTGGCCACAGCCCTGGTCAGGTTGTGAATATTGTAAAGAAATTTTCATGTTTCCAGACATTATGAAGTTGCAGAAGATTGGGAAATACTTTCTGGTTTTGACCACATAGCAAGGGGTATGAGGGACCCTGAGCCCAGCACCCTGGCTCTTCAGCCTGGAAGGCCCCTGACCGGGGCAGCCAACAGCCCACCATTTAGGAGGGGCTGCTCTTGGGGTGGGCGTTGGGCCTAGCAGCGGAGACACCTGTATCCCACAGTGTGCTGGGTAAAGCTCCTGCTCCTATCCACCTGCTAATGCAGACACAGGGAAGCAACGGTGATGGCTCAGATGGCTGTGTTCCGGCTACCCTCATGGGAGACTTGGGTTACATCCTGGCTTCAGACTTCCGGTTTCAACCTCTGCCCAGTACTGGTCATTGTGGGCATTTGGAATGTGGACTAGGAGATCAGAATTCTGGCTTTCTGCCTCTCAAATAAATAAATAAATATATTTTTTTAGAAGATGTATAAATTTTGGGCTCAGCACAGTAACCTAGCAGCTGAAGTCCTTGCCTTGAATGCGCCAGGATCCCATATGGGTACCAGTTCTATTCCTGGCAACTCCACTTCCTTCCCAGCACCCTGCTTGTGGCCTGTGAAAGCAGTCGAGGATGGCCCAAGGCCTTGGGACTCTGCACATGCATGGGAGACCTGGAAGAAGCTCCTGGCTCCTGGCTTCAAATCAGTGCATCACTGGCAGCACTGGTGGTTGCAGCCACTGGGGGAATGAATCATCGGATGGAAGATCTTCCTCTCTATCTCTCTTCCTCTCTGTATATCTGACTTTGCAATAAAAATAAATACATTTTTTAAAAAGTACTTATTTGAAAAGCAGAATTATAGAGAAAGAGATAGGGAGGGACGGGAAGAGATCTTCTGTCCACTGGTTCACTCCCCAAATGGACTCAGCTGCTAGAGTTGGGCCTGTCCAAAGCTAAGAGTCAGAACTTCTCTTCAGGATTTCTCACAGTGAGTCATCCTCGTCTGCTTATCCAGGTACGTTAGCAGGGAGTTAGTGGAGCAGCCGGGACTTGAACCTGTGACTTCATGGAATATTAGCATGCCACCATCGGTGGCAGCCTTATTTGCTGTGTCACAGTGCTAGTCCCTATAAATAAACTGTAAAAGGCTGTCTGAAGAAAGGGCTGTTGTCTTAACCCTCATGGTGTCAGCACCCAGCTGCAATACTAGGTGCCAGAGTGGTGGCCAGGCTGATTGTAGCTGCAGGGCCTGGTGGGCAAAGAGTGTCCATTTTGTTTCCTCCTGGCTCCTGTGATTCTCCAGCAGAGCCCGAAGCTGGAAGGATAGTACAGGGTCCCAAGCGCTGGACGGTGTCTTTGTCAAGACATGTTCTGAGCACACATCCCCTGGGTGTGGGCAGTGTTTCTGTCCAGCCACAAGGACCCTGACTTTTAAGTTCTCGCCCTGGGAGCTGCTCTGCTTCAGACCTATGTGGTTCTCTTGGGTCCATTTTCTAGCTGTCCTGGAGAGTTGGGCTCTGCATGTACTTTTTTGAACTTTTGTGAACTTGGGGGCGGGGGGGGGGAGGGTGGAGGAAGGGCAAGGTTGTCAATTACCAGAAGAATAACCTGGCATTAGCATGTGTTTCCTGTTCTACTGGCTGCTTGCTGTCAGAAAGGATTTGTAGGGAGTTTGTGGCTGACAAGGGCCTGCGTGCCGAGGGACACACACCCTGCGTGCACTTTCCCCTCCCTGAATCTGTCTTCTGGAGAAGCTGGACCAACTGACTACTGTGTTAGGTTTCCCAGGGCAGGTTAAATGTTCCAGAAGTTACCTGGCTGCTGCTGCTTTTGTTTTTTCTATTTTTCCCCCAGCTTTCTGTATCAGCATGGGTTTCCCTGTCCCTCCAGTTATCATCCCAACACCACTGTCCTTATGCTGCTTCCCGAGCTCATATTTTTATATTAAATATATATATCTTTATATATATACATATATATATTTAAAGAATGTATTTATTGAGGAGACAGAAAAAGAGAGTGAGAGAGCTGCCATTCGCTGGTTCCATCCTCAGATGCCAGGACTGGTCTAGTGCCAGAAGCCTGGAAGAGAACCCAGGTTCTCCTTGTGTCAGGGACCCAATTACCTGAGCTGTTACTGCTTCCTCCTCACGGGCTCTGCAACGGCAGGAAGCTGGTGTTCGGAGTTGGAGCTGAGAATTGAACACAGGCCCTTGGGTGTGGAGTGAAGGCGTCTTAACTGCTCAACTGAACACCCCTCTCTCCTCTGGATTCGATAGGCAACATGGAGTTAGGCAGGGGACACAGGGATGGGGGTGGGTAACCAAGTCCTAGCACTGCCTTGATCATTTGCTAGCTGTATAACATTGAGGAGCTCAGCTGACTCCCTTGTGAAAGGACAGGTTTGGACTCAGGTTTGGACAGGTTTGCACATCAGTTCCATTCGTGATTTTCTTGAGCAGTTATTGGGTGTTAAGGACCTTGCAGAAAGCTGGAAATGCTACAATGATCACGAACGTCTGTGACCTTGGAATTGTCTAGGCTGTTTTGAAGCTGCTGGGCTAATCTGGGTCGCACACAGGTGACTGGGTCAGGTCCACTCAGTGCTACACGAGGGAGGGATGCGGGTCCTCCATGGATGCCTCCCTCAGGCTAGGAGGACGCCCCTATGCCCTGTAAGTAAGGAGATGGGGTGCCTGAGTACTGAAGAACTAGGAGGAATTGTTAAAATGCAGATGGGAGAAAGGAGTGAGGCAAGGGGTTGCTTTGCTTTCTTATTCTAACAATCTAACATTCCACCCCTAATTGGTCTCTTGTCTTTGCTCAAAGACTTATTCTTCCTAATGGTGCTCAGTAGCCCTTTCAGATGAAATATTCCTTGTCAAAAAGGTGAGGAAGAGCAGGGAGAACAGGAAGGAGAACATGGCTTTGCATGAGCCTTTTATTCTTGAATTGGTAGGAAAGCCATAGCTTTAGGTTAAGCTTGGGTGGCAATGGAAGATTCATGTGAGGTTGAGGAAGTCCCCTAAACAGCGGTGTTTGCACCTTCCAAAGTGGAGCAGTCAGGGCAGGCATTGGGCACAGTGGCTAAGTTGCCGCTTGGAGCACCCAGGTCCTATGTTAGAGCGGGTTTGAGTCCTGCCTCCAATTTCTTCTTCTTCTTTTCTTTTTTCTTTTAAGATGTAGATATTTATGGCCCGACACGATGGCTCATTGCCTAAATCCTCATCTTGCAAGTGCCAGGATCCCATGTGGGTTCTGGTTCATGTCCTAGTTACTGCACTTCCCATCCACTTCTTTTTTTTTTTTTTTTTAAGATTTGTTTATTTATTGGAAAGTCAGATATACAGAGAGGAGAAGAGACAGAGAGGAAGATCTTGCGTCCGATGATTCACTCCCCAAGTGAGCACAACGGCCAATGCTATGCCAATCCGAAGTCAGGATCCAGGAACTTCTTCCAGGTCTCCCACACACGTGCAGGGTCCCAAGGCTTTGGGCCATCCTCGACTGCTTTCCCAGGCCACAAGCAGGGAGCTGGATGGGAAGTGGAGCAGCCGGGATTAGAACCGGCGCCCATATGGGATCCCGGCGTGTTCAAGGTGAGGACTTTAACCGCTAGGCCACGCCGCCAGGCCTTCCCATCTACTTCTTGCTGTGGTCTGGGAAAGTAGCAGAGAATGGCCCAAAGCCTTGGGACCCTGCACCCACATGGGAGACCTTAAAGAAGCTCCTGGCTTCAGATTGGCTCAGCTCTGGCCATTGCAGCTACTAGGGGATAGAAGAGCTTTCTCTCCTTCTCTCCAATAATCAGATCTGCCTTTCCAATAAATATATAAAAATCTTTTTATTTTATTGGAAAGGCAGAGCTAGAAAGAAGTGGACATAGAGAGAAATCTTTTATCCACTGGATCACTCCCCAAATGGCTACAATAACCAGGGTTAGGCCAAGCCAAAGCCAGGAGCATCCTCTAGGCATCTTATATGGGCTCAGGGGCCCGAACATTCGGCCCATCCTCCCCTGCTTTCCCAGGCCATTAGCAGGAATCTGGATCGGAAGTAGAACAGCCAGGATGCAAACCAGTGCCCATAAGAGGTGCCAGCATGGCTGACTGTGGCTTTATTCACTATACACAGTGCCACTCCCTGCTGCCGTGCCCCTCCCCGCCCTCCCTCCCCACCACCAAGGTCAGTCCACCTTCCTGCCAGTGAGCACCCTGGAGGAAAGCAGATGATGGCTCTCTCCCGCTCACACGGGAGACAGACATGGAGTTCCAGCCCCTGGCTCAGTCCTGACTGCTACAGGCATTGGTGGTGGTAGGGGCCGGGGGATAAACCAGTGAGAGGGAACTCTTTCTACTCTTCTCTCTGTGTCTCTGCCTTTCAAATGAATAGCAAAGAGTGGGCACTCAGTCAACAGAATTTAAAGTGAGGCCATCAACCATGTGACAGTCCTACACAGTCGGGGTTATGGAGGTGGCAACCATGTTGCCTCCTTTTCCCAATCTTGGGTCCAGCATTCTTCAGTAGGGTTTTTGTCCACACTAGATCTTCTTGTTTTCTGCCATCATTGACTGTTTCTCCATCCCGTGTCATAGGTCACGCTGAGCCGGTACCAGCGAGAAGCAGAACAGAGTAACATGGCCCTCCAGAGAGAGGAGGGCAGAGTGGAGCAGAAAGAGGCTGAAGTCGTAGAGCTGCAGAGGCGCCTGCTGGGAATGGAGACGGTGATTGCTTGGGTTCTCACTGCTGTGGCTTGAACCCCTGCATCAGAAGGAGCCCCGAGACTGACCCAGGCAGCGCCCAAGGCTGCCCTTCCCCACAGCACTGTGCAGGCACACCCAGCAGTGGCCTCCGGTGGCGAGCTCTTTGTGAAATGGATAAGCCTTTTTCTCGTTTAGCTTGTCTGCCCCTAGCAGGAGTGGAGCCCAGTGCCACCTCTATGAGGTTCTTGCACAGATGTCCCTTTGGGCTTCTTGCAAACTGTTCCTAAGAAGCCATCCGTGGCTGACAAGCAGGCCGGGGCTGGGTGAGGTTGGGCAGGGCCCCAGTGCTGAGGGTGGGAAGGGTGATCCCTGACAGCGAAAGGTGCCCATCAAACCAGCTTGACCTGCTGCTCTCAGGCAGCTGTGCCAGGTCCAGCAGTGCCCATCTCGCTCCAAACAGCTGCTGCTGCCGTGGTCGTCTCGTCCTTGACTTCCTTTCCCTTGGTTACCCAGGAGCACCAGGCTTTGCTGGCAAAAGTCAGGGAAGGGGAAGTGGCCCTAGAGGAACTCCAGAGCAAGAACGCAGACTGCCAGATGGAAAGAGACAAGTAAGGGCCCCATTCGCTGTGCACTTGGGGTGCAGGGAGGGGGCGGGGCCGTGCAGCCTGCAGCTCCCATGGTGGCCAGGCCTGGGGAGGGAGCTGGTGCTGATCTCAGGTCTGCCAGCTCTGACTGGTTTGCCAGTGGGGTAGGGCGGGTGGGAGGTGTTATTGTCCCTGAGGGTCAGAACCCAGAGAGAAGGCTTTTCTGGTTTTGGTGTCAATGTCAAATGAGGGTGGCAAAGCATCTGCTGTCACACTGGGTGTGCGAAGGGACATCCCAAGTACGAGGGAGGTACACATTATGAAAAAACTGTAGGGATTTCAACTTTTTCTTTTTTTTAAATGAACTTATCTTTTAATTTTATTTCCCTTGAACTTTTTGAAATACAATCATATCACAACCTTTCCTCCCAAAATAGACTGACCTTTCTGAGGGTAAAGTCGATTGACATTGTCATAAATGGTGCTTGTGTGAGTTAGAATTAGTGGCACTCATTTGGGATGCCAGCACTGCAGATGATGGCTTTACCTGCTTTGCCACAGCATTGGCCCCACTAAATCAAACTTAACATCAGCGTATGGGATATAGTCTCTGTTGAATGTCAATATTGAGGTTTTTGCAAGTTCAGCAGACATTGCCTGTGGTCCTTCTGAGGAATTTCTTAACAGACATGATACTTACCTTCCAGACCCTACATCTTCTGGGTGTATGTTCTGTCTTTTAGGAGCACCCAGATTTGACTTTCCTGGCATGGAAGGGCTAAAGCCCTGCTTCCATCTTGGCTTCATGTCGGAATTACTTTAGGTTACACTTGGTCTTCCAGATCTGTGGATTCCATATCCATGGAGTCAACCAACTGAGAATTAAAACAATATTTAGAAAATGAAGAAATCATATCTGAGCAAACCTGCACAGATTTCTTTTTCTTGTCATTATTCTCTAGATGATGTTGTATAGCAACTCTCCACATAGTATTTACAGTGTGTCAGCTATAACAAGTAACCTAGAGATAACTAAAATAAAAGGGGGCGGGGTGATGGGCAGTGAGGAACAGCGGCTTGGGACACCTGCATGCCATAGCAGAGTACCAGTTCAAGTCCCCACCACTCCCATTGGAATCCGGCTTCCCGTTACTGTGTACCCTGGGAGGTGGCAGATGATGGCCCAAGGGCCTGGGACCCTGCCTCCCATATAAGAGACCCAGGTGGCGTTGTGGGCTCCTGACTTTGGCCTGGCCCAGCCCAGGCTGTTTTGAACATGTGGGAAGTGAACCACTAGATAGAGGATACCTTTCTCTTGCTCTGCCTTTCAAGCATACAAAATGACTAAAGAAATGTAAAAAATAAAGCATAAGAGAGGCTTATGTGATATCTATGCAAATGTGCCATTTATTGGAAAGTCAGATATACAGAAAGGAGGAGAGACAGAGGAAGATCCAGTCAATGATTCACTCCCCAATTGACCACAATGACCAGAGCTGAACCAATCTGAAGCCAGGAGTCAGGAGCTCCTCCAAGTCTCCTACACGGGTGCAGGGTCCCGAAGCTTTGGGCTATCCTCAACTGTTTTCCCAGGCCACAAACAGGGAGCTGTATGGGAAGTAGGGCTTCCAGGATTAGAACCAGCGCCCATATGGGATTTGGCACATGCAAGGCGAGGACTTTGGTCACTAGACTACTGTACCAGGCCCTGAATACTTGTCTTCTAAATAAAAGGAGATGACGTAGATCACTGTAGAGCTGAGGGTAGAAACTTAGCATGTCTGAAGCTTTGGGAGGATATGGAGCAGCTCAGATTAAATTGTAGCCACACTGCACCCCATTGCTGCCCACCCTCTGTCACTGCAATAGTCAGCTTCCGGGCAGAGCTGGGAAGTGTTGGGTACCAGCAATTCCCCAAGATCCTGAAATCCTAGAATCTCTTTCAGCAGAAAGCTAACCTACTCCTAACACATGTGTGGGTTTTCCACATAGCAATTCTCTGTTGACACCAACTGGGTGTCCTACAGTCTAGTTTAGCATGGAAACTAACTAAGACACCAGCCCCATGTCAGACACAAGGTGTAAGAACCATGTCCAGGGATACGCAGTGCTTCTGGCCAAGTTGGCTACAAATTGGGGTTCCTATAGTCTCCTACCCAGATTTGATAATTTACTATAATGGCTCCTGGAGCTCAGGCAGTACTTGATTAAAGAGGAATTCAAATGAACAGATGAAGAGAAGCACAGGGCAGGATCCAGAAGTGTGCAGGGGTTTCTGTCCCATGGATTTGGGGTGTGCCAGGCTTGCAGCATGTGGCTGCCTTCACCACCCTGGATGCTCTCTGGAACCCCTCATTCAGGATTTAATGGAGGTTCTGTTATGTGAGCATAATTGACTAAATTGTTGGGCTCTTGTGATTAACCCAATCTTCAATTCTGGGCTTTCTCCTCTCTCTAGAGATTGGGAGTGGGGGATTGGTGGGGCTGAAAGCTGACAACCCTCTAATCACACTTTGGTTTTTTTTTTCTGGTGACTAGTCTCTGTAGACCCGGGACCATGACCAGCAGACAGTAAGAAGGCACGGCACACATTTCTAGACGCTCATCAGGAGCTGGGGACTAAAACCAAACATTATAACAAAACATGTTCTTGCACTCCTATATGCAAGAATTTGCAAGGGTTTTAGGAAATCTGTTTTGGAAACTCAGATAGGGATCAAAGACCTGTGTCATATTATGTCACACTAGCCTTTGGGTGTCTTGGCTCCATCTGCTGGTAAGATGCAGAGGAGCCAATGATGGTGTGAGAATTGGGAGGCTTAGAATTGTGGGAAGATGCCTTAGGGCTCCCTCTAGTCTAGAAAATGCCTGCAGCAGCTCAGTGGTGTTGTGTAAAGTAATCCGTCTTCTCCTAGAGCTTTTCCAGTAACAGGAACTTGTCAAGCTTGTGGCAGCCCGCCTTCTGATAACTTTAGCACCAAGGAAATCTGTCCTGTAGATAGCATCTACTCCCCTTTCACCTCCACCAGTTAGCTCTGATCTAGCCAGAATAACCTTTCGCTTCTCTCCCTTCTGAGCCTCCGTCTCCTTATTGGTACTAGGTGATCTCTGATGAAGCTTCCAGTGGGACACTTGAGGGTGTCCTGCTACCTAACAGGTAGACACCTGGAGAAGCAGGGGTGTGGGCTGAGGGAGTCTCACCTGCTGACAGCCTCCCGAGGCCCCAGGCTCTGGCTGTGCCTGGGTGGAAAAAGCATCTCCATCCCTGGCCTCAGCCTCTGCTCTTTATGCCCAGGGTTGCCACCCTGGAAAAGGAAGTAGCTGGCTTGCGGGAGAAGATCCACCACCTGGATGACATGCTCAAGAGCCAGCAGCGGAAGGTCCGGCAGATGATAGAGCAGGTAAGCAGGGAAGGAGCCTATCCAGCCCAAGTCTCTGCTTCTGCTCAGCTCTTCTCCTAGGGAGCTTGGCTTATATCCCTGTGTGTCTTGTACTTACCTGATGCTAGGAGTCTTTGCTATTGGGGTTTGCTTACCTCCTGTAGCTTCTGTGAGGAGTCTTGGTAAGTGAGTTACTGAGTCACCTTCCACTCAGTAACCTGCGTGCAGGAGAAGTCCCCTTGCCCCATGGCAGGTTTCCTGCCTGAACCTTAGGGCAGCAGACTCAGGATATGCCGGTTTGCAGAATTGTGAGAATCTAAGATGTGCTAATTAGGAGGGGCATGTTGGTTTCATGCGAGCTCATTTGTGTTTGTTTTGTTTACTGCTGTTTTCCATTCTCTAGAACAGTGCCCATCATAGAGTCTGCATTCGGTGACTATTTCTGAAAGTAGTAAATAATTTGTTTTCCAAAGCCAGATGTAGTGGTTTCACAAGACCCTTTCGGATCCTCAGGGTTCTCCTCACACTTTTCCCTCAACAACCCTGGAACAATCCAGAGATGATTCTTATTTTTTAATTATTTATTTTATTTGAAAGTCAGAGAAGGAGAGATCTTCTATCTCCCCAAATGTTGCAGTGGCCAGAGCTGGATGGTTTCAAAGCCAAGAGCCAGGAGCTTTCTCTCATTCAGAGGCCCAAACACTTGGGCCATCCTCCATTGCTTTCCCAGGAGCATTAACAGGAAGCTGGATTAGAAGTGGAACATCTGGGACTCAACCAAACCAATGCCCTCATAGGATGTCAGTGCCTCAGATGGTGGCTTTGCCTGCACAGTACCACTATAATCCAGAGTAATGTTAGACTAAAATGAAGCTTTTGGAGTCTATGCTGTGGCAGAGTAAGTTGAGTTGCCACCTGCAACACCAGCATCTCATTTGGGCAACTGTTCAAGACCCAGCTGCTCCATTTCCTAGCCAGCTCTCTGTTAATATGCCTGGAAAAGTAGCAGAGGATGGCTCAAGTGCTTGAGCCCTGGAAGCAACTTTGGGTTCCTGGCTTTGTGCTGGCCCAGCCCTAGCCCCAGCCCAAGCTGTTGCAGCCACTTGGAGAGTGAGCCAGCAGATCTGTGTCTTTCTTTCTCTCTGTAACTCTGCCTTTCAAAAAAAGAAAAGAAAAGAAAAGAGCTGTAAGGCTCTGCCTTGCATTGAGTGAGCATGAGTGCCTGTGGAATGAGCTCCAGCATCTTGTCTGTTTCTGCAGCTCCAGAATTCAAAATCTGTGATCCAGTCCAAGGATGCCACCATCCAAGAGCTGAAGGAGAAAGTCGCGTATCTGGAGGCAGAGGTGTGTGCGCCCGGGGAGGGCGTCTCAGTGCTGTCCACCCATGTGGCATGTGAGACTATATGAAGCCTCCCTTAGTTTCCCTTCAGCAGCTGAAACATTTTCTGAGAACCTCAAGGAGTCACTAACTACAGTGAGACCTGACACAGCCTGCAGGCAGCTCAGGCAACTTGTGTGAGCTGAGTCCCAGGACAGCCTGGAGGCCACCTCTTAATGAGGGGCCTGGGAGGCTATGAAAGAGGAGGAGGAGGTGTGACAAAGCCGGAGGCTCCTCCAAGGCTCAGGCCTGTTATGTCTTTCTGGTCTAATGTCCTCTTTGCTACAGAGCCTCCCATCCAGTGACTGTGTAAAGAAAGTGTGAACATCCCTTCCAGTGCCAGTTATAAATGAGAAGTAAGGTTGCTCACTGTGAAGGAGTTTGCAGTGTAGAGTTAGCAATCACATACATTAAAAAACAACAACAAAAAGACTAAGAATGCTCTATAGAGGAGCATGTTGACAAAAACCAAATAGACATCTCACCCAATAAGAAGAAATTTTATACAGGAGATTATGTGGAGTTTATCCAGGAAATGATTGGTGTTCTACAACATTGTTGAGGAGTAGGGACTGGCGAAAGAGGTGATCTGTAGTGATGGAAATGGGGAGAGGCAGGACCTGGGTCCTGGCACACAGGGGAAGAATCAGAGCAGCAGCACAGGAGAGCTTGGAAGGAGCCATGCGGACACGGGGGAACAGGCCCATGCTCACCCTGCGGCTTGTGTTTCAGAATTTAGAGATGCACGACCGGATGGAACACCTGATAGAAAAACAAATCAGTCACAGCAACTTCAGCACTCAGACCCGAGCCAAGACGGAGAACCTGGGCAGGTGAGTGCACCTGTTCCGAGTGGCCAGGAAGGAGAGACAGAGCTTCACCAAACCTAAGGGCAAGGCTCTGTTCAATCCAGCTTTCCTGCCTCTGTCTCTAATCTGACCCTTTCTCACCAGACCCATTTTCTTTCTTTCTTTCTTTTCATCATTTTGTCTTATGACACAGTGTAATAGGCATTGGGGTTTCTCCTACCCCTCCCCTTGTCCCTACCCTCCCCACTGACTTCCCTTCCAGTTTTACAATGGGTGTCTTTCATGAACTTTCATAAGTCCATCGTGCTGCCACTGATTGCCAACAATTAGGTGTGGACAGTGTCGGAGAGTCCACCATCCAACTGTCAGGACATCATCAGCCATTTCACTGGGAGTCCATCCTTGTACTGTATGCACAGAGACATGCTTCTCTCTGTTTCCACCTAGGAACATATCAATTTCCGCTACACTTCCATTATGCGTCCCCTTAAATACAGAGCCAGTGTACACAGTTCACCACAGGGAGAAAAATGGTGAACTTTCATCCACATGCAGTTAATGAACATGTAACAAAAATGCCAATGTGTCACTGTGGTGGTGAAAAAGAATATCGAGAACCTTCATGTAGGAATAGGTGCCAGCGCATGACTCACGTGGTGCCAAAGAAATTGCAGTAAAGACTAGGACACTGTTACTCATGCAGTGTAGCAATAACAGTGATAAGAGGGACATTAGCAATCTCAGGTGTTTACAATCCATCAGTCTGTTATGGATGATTGATGAATGAATCACCTCATTTATTGAGATTTATTGAGAAAGATACAAATAACTAGGAAGTATGAAAAGATAGATAGATAGATGAAACCCATTTTCTACGTAAGAGTAGAGCCCCAAACCAGGAACCCAAGGAGGTCCACGAATGACTTCTGGAAGTGTGTGGAAGTACATGCAAGTGTGTTTTGTAACTCTGGCCTGTTGCATGCATGTGTATTTCTAGAGAAGAGGGTGTGGTTGCTCCTGGGAGATGCACACAGTCTTGGGAAGGAAATTGAGACTCACAGCCATCCCCACTCTTACTTAGTTTCCCCCTTCTGTTCACCACCCCTACTACCAGACAGTTGCGTCATGCTCCCTAGGTCTTTGCTCTTGTTTTGTTTGTTTGCTTGCTTGCTTTAATGTATGTAAAGATTTTTTAAAAAGATGTACAGAGAGGAGGGCCTGTCTCAGTAACCTAGCAGCTAAAGTCCTCACCCTGCACGCACCAGGATCCCATATGGGCATAAGTTCTAATCCTGGCTGCCCCACTTCCCATCCAGCTCCCTGCTTATGGCCTGGGAAAGCAGTCGAGGACGGCCCAAGGCCTTGGGACTCTGCACCTGCGTGGGAGACCTGGAGGAAGCTCCTGGCTTCTGGCTCTAGGTTGGTGCAGCATCGGCTGTTGTGGTCACTTGGGGAGAGTGAATCATCAGACAGAAGATCTTCCTCTTTGTCTCTCCTCCTCTATATATATCTGCATTTCCAATTTAAAAAAAAAAAAGAAAAGAAAAAGAAAAAATTTGCAGAGAGAAGAGACAGAAAGATCTTCCCTTCACTGGTTCATTCCTCAAATGGTTGCAACAGCTGGAGCTGAGCCAATCCAAAGCCAGGAGCCAGGAGCTTCTTCTAGGTCTCTCCTTTTGGTGCTGGGTCTCAAGACTTTGGGCTGTCCTCCAGTGCTTTCAAAGGTCACAAGCAGGAAGCTGGATGGGCAGTGGAGTAACCAGGACAAAAACTAGCACCCATATGGAATCCTGATGCTTGAAGATGGAGGATTAACCAATTGAGCCATTGTGCCAGCCCCACCCCCTACATCCCCACATGTCTTCTCTTAGCTGACCCTGACTGGGCTGCTTCAAAGGTTCCACCATGAGAGATCCTGAAGGCAGAGGTAGAGGGGAGGCTGGGTGAAGGGCAGGCCACATTGTAGCACTCAGTCTTGCTGCTTTTTCTTGCAGTGTCAGGATATCCAAGCCGCCCAGCCCCAAGCCCATGCCACTCATTCGTGTTGTGGAAACCTGAGCTGCCAGGAAGATGGACATCGCCAGCCAGCCATTGCTGCTGCCACCTCTCACCTGTGAACAGGCCCACCACCCCTGTAGGCTGTTGGCATTGACTCTGACTTTGTCACCGTTCCCTGGCTTGCAACCCCAGGGCTTGGAGCTCGTGTGTCCCACCTGTGCCAAGCGCTGGCCTCTGTTTGCTGGGCAGACAGAGCACGGGTGCCTCCCCTGGATGCTGTCTGCAGCCCTTTGGAAGACTGTGGCTGCCAGCAGGAGCCAGGGCAGCATCCTCATCCCCAGAGTTCTTGTTCAGCCCTGTAGCAGAGCCTCCCTTCTGGTATTTAGGGGAGCTGGGCCACCCCAGAGGCAGGTCCTCCTTGGAGCAGCCAAACCAGTGACGGTGTTGAAGATTGGCTCAGCCCTGAATACTGGAGGAACAGAGGCCAGGGTGATTGCAGTGTGCCCTAGGGGAACGAAGTTCCTTCTGCAGACACCTGGGTTCTTAGCAGCAAACTCTGTTTTTCCTCCTCACTCTACGCTTGGTGCAGGCCAGGGGCTGACCTGGGCCTCATACAGACTGCCAGGAAGGCTCCCTGTGGAGGTCTGGCCAGCTGCTGAACCTGAACTTTGCACAGCCTTGTCACTCTGGGGAAAGGGTCTAGCAGAAAAGACTGGCTAGGGCCATGCACAGTCGGGGGCATGAGTTCTCTGTTGCGGAAACTTGCAGTCTTGTAGGGTTTTTCTCCTAAGGTGTGCCACCAGAGCCTAAAACCTTTTCTTTGGGTCTTATAAGTCCCAGGAAAAAAAAAAAGGCAAAAAGCCCCAAAGCCAACAACCCCACTGTATTTATTTTTGCTAAGTTATTGGTGTTTCTGCTCTCATCTTGTGGTTGTTTCATGCGAGAGTGCCACAGCCTTCTCTGGTGGAGTTTGGGTTGGCTTGAAGCTGGGAAAAGCGTGTTTGTGGAACCTGTTGGTAGCAGAACACTTTTGGTTTTTTCCCCTCCTTGTCTTCAACATGCTGCTTTCCCCTTCTCTGAATTTGACTTGTCCCTCAAAAAGGTGCAGTGCTCTGGGCACCAGGGTCTGCGTGCGTCATGTCTGGGGGACAAGGGCAGTCAGGACTACCTTAGGGTGGAGTCAGATCCAACCCCCCCCCCCAAACACACCTCCCAAGAGCTCTCTCCAGCTTTATCCTGGTTCTGCAGCCCCCAAGAGGCGGATCAGCACAGAGTGCTATACCAGAGGAAGCAGGAAGTTCAAAGTCAGCCGTGGGTTATGTCCTCAGGCCGCGTGCACCCTTGCCTCGGGTCAAGCTCACTTTCTCCACACTGAGGAGTGGTCCCCACCTCTATTAAATGAAGCTGTCAGTTCAGACACTTCCATGTCCCTCCCACTTCTCATGTGGGCTTTTTTTTTCCCCCTCTCCCACCTATTCTTAGGTCAATTTAATAAATTATGATGATGCGGCTCTTGGACCACCCATCCTGGTTTCCTTTGGCTTTTGGGGGGAGGATGTGAGAACATCATTTAGAGTCGACTTCCTTTTGCCTACGCCTGTGAGCCGAGGGCCGGCAGCAGAAGCACCGCTTCCAGGGAGCACTGTGTGGTGGTCAGAAGACGCAGAAGCAGCTCAGCCACGTGGTCGGAGTCACCGTGGGTGGGGGTGGGGGACTCCTGATTTTTGTGTTGACTGTTCCAGGGTGGTGACTTCATGGGGGTCCTGTGTCCGGCCACTGGCCATCACGTGTTCTTTCCAGTCAAAGGTCCTGTGACCCTGGAGGATGTGCCCGTGGGCACTGGAGAGAGATGAGTAACTGCACTCCTGGCAGAGATCAAAGGTTCTGCGCAGTGCTCACTGCCCTGGCTTGAGGATCTGGTCTCTTACTGTCTCTAGGCAACGTTCAATTAGTTCCGAGATTCTCTCTCTCTTTTTACTTTCTTTCTACCAAGAAGACAGTTGACTACAGAGCCAAAGGAGGAAGAGCTGAAGCTACATGAATTCTCTCTGAACCAAAGACTGGAAACAGCCCCTCCCTCTGTCCTGCTCCCCGCACACCCCGCCAACCCCGCAAATCCCGTGACCCCTGGCCCTCAGCTACTTCTTGCAGCACCGAGAGCCTCCCTCTACCTTGGACCTGGATTTGTTACTGCCACTCCCCTCCCTTCTCGCTTGGAAGTCTCCTTTGGCCCCAGGGTCGATTTAGACCATGCTTGTTGGCAGAATGCTAACAGGACTGAAGCAGGGTGGGGTTCATTGAGGTGCCAAGAAGACTGGCTGGGCTGGAGGAGCAGTGGGCGTGAGGAGGGAGTGGGAGGCTTGGCCACAGGGGCCTGCTGGCCGTGCAGTGGGGACAGAGGTTAAGGAAATGGCTTGGAGGCTTTCCTGAGCCTGAACGCGCGTGTGCGCATACAGACACACACACACAAATGCCTCTGGTGTCTTCTCCCAGCATTCAGTTATGCCCCTGCCAGAAGGAACAGGGGACCCGCCATGGAAAGAGAAAATTGTGCAGCGAAGTGAAGCTCACGTCTTGACAATCTTTGTGATTAGAGATGGAGGGAAGGGACCCCAACAAAACGGAACCCTTTTGGTCTGGTTCAGCATCTTAGCTATCCTTGTCTGTGTTTTGTGATTGCGAAGCCAGCTCCTCTGCATGTTGGTTTTTTGCTTTTGGTGGAGGGAGAGAGTCTGATGTGCTGAGACCTCTGCCTCTGTGTTTGTGAGCTGGGAGTGATTGCCTACACACACAGCCACACAGGAGACCTGGTGTCACAGAGTGCCAGCCTCCTTACCACCTCAAGAGCTGCCCATCTTCCAGCCTCCCTCTGTGCCTTCTCAAAAGCAAGCTTTACCACCACATGCCTCCCTGGAGCAGTTTTGGAAGTTAACTTTCCAAGGCCAAAAATGGATTGAAGGGCCCGGCGCAATAGCGTAGTGATTAAAGTCCTCACCTTGCACGCACCAAGATCCCATATGGGTGCTGGTTCTAATCCCGGCAGCCCCACTTCCCATCCAGCTCCCTGCTTGTGACCTGGGAAAGCAGTTGAGGATGGCCCAAAGCCTTGGGACCCTGCACCCATGTGGGAGACCTGGAGGAAGTTCCTGGATCCTGGCTTTGGATCAGCACAGCACTGGCTGTTGCGATCACTTAGGGAGTGAATCATCAGACGGAAGATCTTTCTCTCTGTCTCTCCTCCTCTCTGTATATCTGTTTTTCCAATAAAAATAAATAAGTCTTAAAAAAAAAAACAAAAACGGATTGGGCCCTTTCCATGTAGGATCAGTTGCACCTTGCACAGTGAAATGTTTGCGCTTTGGAACGATGCTCTAATGTGACAATAATCACATCTGATGGGGAGAGGAACGCCCTTTGTGTTGCAAAACAGAGTTCCCTCTGCTGCCAGCCAGCTCTGCAGTGTTGATGGCCCCGCCTCTGTTTTCCTCCCCTCTTGCCTTCCTTGCTCAGCGTCAAGCGTTTGGGCTTGGGCTTGTTCAGGCTCCCACCCAACAGCAGATGTTTGCCTAGGGCCCTTGGCCTCCTTTCCATGCTTCCATTTAGAGCTCTAGCTCTGCGGGGAGAAATTGTTTTCTATCTTCCCCGTCCCAGTTCTAAGTGCCATGCCCTTGAAACTCCAAAATGGAGACTAGATACCTGCCAGTGCCCGCTGGTGCAGGGAGGATCCTTAGCCATCCTGAGAATGGAAGAGGTGTTTCCTATAGTGAGTCATTTCCAGTGCGGCATGTGCTGTGGGTTGGCAGCAGGACCTGCTTTGAACTTGAAGATGTGTGTGACCCTTTGCTGAAATATTCTTCCCCAGGAGCACCCTGGGACATGGGCAGGGAATAGACGGTCGCAGGATGATGAGCGTCCTGCCAAGGATTAGACCACAGGACAAAGGAAGTCGTTGGTGCTCATGACTTAATTTATCACCTCAGTTCTGCCTCGTGCCAGCCCTCTCCTCCCTCTCACTGGCACTCGGGCCCAGACTTGCACAGGCCTGCGGGAGCCTTGCGCCCCTGCTGTCTGCCATCTGTATTTGCATTGGAACTGGCGTTGAAGAAAACTGCTCTGAAGGGCAGACATCTCTCCCTGGGTATACTGATTTTTGTTGGTAAAATAAATAAATAAATCATAAAAAAGAATGAACATTAATGTAACAGATCAGCCAGGCAGGAATAGACCCAATTTTATATATTTTTTTAAAAAGTAGGGGAAAAGACATTTGATCATTTGGTTTAAAATTGGGGAAAAAGAATGACTCTTGAGCAGTATACCTAGGGGCTGGCACGATAGCTCAATAGACTAATTCTCCGTGTGCTAGTGCCAATATCCCATATGGCCACTAGTTCTAGTCTGGGCTGCTCCACTTATGATCCAGCTCCCTGCTTATGGATGGGGAAACCAGCAGAGGGCGGGCCAGGTCTTTGGGTCCCTATGCTCACATGGGAGACCCAGAGGAAGCTCTTGGCTCCTGGCTTCAGATTGGCTCAGCTCTGATCATTGTGGCCATTTGGGGAGTGAATCAACAGATGGAAGATATTTCTCTGTCTCCTCTCTGTAAATGGGCGTTTACTAACTAACTAAACAAATGGAATCACATAATGTGTAGATGTGGTAAGCATAATAATGAAACTTGTTAATATTATTGCATGTAACCCATCCCCTTAAAATGTGAAGTATGTGGAATGTGAACTGATTAAACCAGATGTTAACTGGTGTATGAGATGTATGAAATATGAATGAATGTGACACAACGTTAGCTAGTGTGTAACAGTAAGGAGCAGTATTTAGTGACATGTCAGGCTTTGTGACTCGGGGCTTGCTTAGGAGTATGCATTCATTGTGCACTCCTGCACCCTGCACCCTGCACCCTGTACCCTGCACCCTGCACCCTGTATCCTGCACCCTGCACTCTGCACCCTGCGCTCCTGCTCCCTGTGCTCCTACACTCCTGGGATGGGTGGGAGACTGGGTGGGGCTTCTCCCTTCACCTCCCCCTTTTGCCTAGATACAGGAAAAAACATATGGAAATAATACTCTTACCCACTTTCCTGTAGCCCTTGAACCTTTGTGCCCTAATTAACTATGTAAAGATCATCAAAAATAAAGAAAAAAAAAAAGAATTGTAGTGGTCTTTCCTAAATATTTATTTGAAAGCTGGATAAGAGGGAGAGGGGTTTCACTCCCCAAATGTCTGCAGTGAACAGTCTGGACCACACCAAAGCCAGCAGCCTCGCATTCCATCTGGGTCTCCCATGTGTGTGCAGGAGCCCAAGCACCTGGGCAAGCTTCTGCTGTCTTCCCAGGCACATCAGAAGGAAGCTGAATCATAAATGGAGCAGCTGAGACTTGAATCAGAACCCATATGGAATGCTGGCATTGAAGGAAGTGATTTGGCCTGGCTGAACCACAACACTGGCCCAGAGTTTTAGTGTTAAAGTTGTGTAAGAAAACACCCTCGTGGGCCCGGCGCGGTGGCGCAAGTGGTTAAAGGTCCTCGCCTTGCACGCCCGGGATCCCATATGGGCGCCGGTTCTAATCCCGGCAGCCCCGCTTCCCTTCCAGCTCCCTGCCTGTGGCCTGGGAAAGCAGTCGAGGACGGCCCAAAGCTTTGGGAACCTGCACCCGCGTGGGAGACCCGGAAGAGGCTCCTGGCTTCGGATCGGCATAGTATCGGCCCGTTGCGCTCACTTGGGGAGTGAATCATCGGACGGAAGATCTTCCTCTCTGTCTCTCCTCTCTGTATATCCGCCTTTCCAATAAAAAAAATAATAAAAATAAATCTTTAAAAAAAAAAAAAAGAAAACACCCTCGTGTGATGTTTCTAGGGACTGGCATTTGGCCTGGGGGGTACCAAGGCTGGTTGGAATGCCGGAATACCTTACCAGAAGGACTGGATCTAAGTCCTGCTCCCAATGTCCACGTCCTGGGAAGGAACCATGATGACACCCCCCCATGTGGGAGACCTGGGTCAAATCCTCGACTTCTAATTTCTGTCCCAGTACAGTGCCAGCCAATGTAGGCATTTAGGAGGGAACCAGAAGATGGGAACTCTCTCTCAAAGTAACATTTCTGAATGAATAAAACGTAAAAAGTCTGAAAGAGTGAGAGCAAATGTGATCATGAGACAATAAATTGGCCAATTTATAACAAATTAATATACATACTAAGATCTCACTGTATCAATGATCAGGATAAAAATGGATAGCTTGAGTCCTACACAATAGCTCAATGGCTAAATCGTTACCTTACAAGTGCTGGGATCCCTATAGAATCTGGTTCCTATCCTGGCTGCATCTCTTGCCATCCAGCTCCCTGCTTGTGGCCTGGGAAAGCAGTGGGGGATGACTCAAAGCCCTGGAACCCTGCACCCAAGGGGAGACCCAGAAGAAGCTTCTGGCTTCTGGCTCTGGATCTGCTCAGCTCCAGTCGTGTGGCCACTTGGAGAGTGAACCAGTGATGGAAGACCTTTTTCTCTGCCTCTCCTCTCTGTAAATCTAATTTGTCTT